AAGTTTGAGAACATGTTGTGTTCAAATCTTATAAAACTTTCAAACTGGAAATAGTTAACCTTATATAATATTGTATTCAATTTCAGACTTGAAGTATTACGTCGGAAAAGCTTAAACAAAGAAATGCCATCCAGTTCATCAACAATATTAAATAATAATACTTCGTTTAATAATAAATTAAAAATGAATACCGAGGATAATGAAATTAATGAGATTAAAGTTAGCGAATTGACAAAAATACTTCAATGGCCAGAAATAGTACAAACAGATAAATTATACGATTTAAAATTAGATAATAAGGATAATTCTTATGTGTATTTCCCAGCAAATAAGGTAATAAAAGTAAATTACTACTACTATGAAGGATGTAGGGAGCTGTTTGTAGATTAAAAAACGCCGAGAGATGAGATCGAGAATGAAACCCGAGACCGAGACCAAAGCGAACGTCGAGACATAGCTCAAAAAACCCGAGAAATTTTACGACTCGAGAGTCGAGACCAAGACTCTCGAACAGTCGAGACCAAGACTCTCGAACAGTCGAGACCAAGACTCTCAAACGTTCACGATATGTTCGCATGCCCTATGAATAATTTCAAAATCACCTCCAAAAATTCTATAACTCTTGTTAGTTACTCGTAGTAAATTTGAATGTAAGCTAACAAATAAGTAAGTCGGATGTAGTAGTTCGATAACAGCCACGGACATGCCCTTTATCATTAGCTAAAGGAGAATAGCTATTCCATTTAAGCTTTATTATTACAAATAATCCCCAAGTATAATATTTGATAATTAAAATTAATTTAGTTTCGAGAAGAGGATATGAAGATATATAATAAAAAATCTTTAAAATCTTTATGAAATAAATAGTTAACATAAATTATGTAAAAAATATGTATTTTTCTATATTGTATTTTAATAAAAATTATTTAATTTCTTTTTATGAATTAAAAGCATAAAAATTTTTATCAGAAATAATTGTATTAGCTTAATAAGTATTTACTAAATAGTTCTCATAAAAACGTTTAAAACAAAAATCAGAACATATTAAAAACATGTTTTTATTAATTAAAACAAATTAGTTTAGAATATTTAAATCAGAATTTGTTTAGAACATGTTTTTGTTTAAATTAGATGTTTTAAAATAATTCTGGTTTTTTATACCTAGAAATTCTGGTTTTGTTGATTTTTAATTCTGGTTTTGTTGTTTATAAAAAATTCTGGTTTTGTTGGATATTTGATTTTATTAACACAAAAACACTAATCATTGAGGGTGTATCTGTAGACGATTAAAAACAGCTTCTCTGTATGGCTTATTAGTTAATATACAAACAATTGGGTTAAAAACAGGCGTAAAATGATTAAAGATTGAGAGAAATATATAAAGAATATTTTTATTCTCTTTAGGTGAATCATTTGTTTTATAATTGAAATTAAGGAACACAGCTAATAAAGTTAAAAATTGATTTATAGATGGAATAATTGCCTGAAATTTAAATAAATTAAATAAAATTTTGTAACCCGATTAGGATAATATTTAAATCCACGGAGAGAGGAAAGGGCTGGAATAGCGAAGCACCAAAATAAAACCGGTATCTGTCTAAAACTCAAAATCGCAAACTTTAAGTACCGGTTAATAACCGATAATGAATAACCCTAGTATTTACCAATAAATAAAATTACATATAAATTTTACGTACCAAAATTATCAAAGTTATTGTCAATTGTTTAAGTAATCTCTTCATATTTTGATCTAATCCAGTATGTAAATTAACATAATAAACCATTTTAAATCCACAAACAAAAATTACAATAAATGGAAGTATTACAAGGAGAGTCATAATTAATGACGGTAAATCCTTTTATTTAAAAATGATTATTTTGGCTCAGTAATTCTTATACCTCATATTTCATAATAACAAACGGCAATGTTTTGTTTAAATATTCCTCATCAAACTGTTTAATACCTCCACCAATATACTGCATAGCATAGAACATATTAAACAGATTTAAAAACAAACCAACAAGTAAAACAATCGAAAACATATATAGATAGCGTTTAAAGCTTGGTTTCATGTTTCTATAAATTTGTGTTTTGTTTTAAATTAATTCTGATTTGTTTTGTTTGGCTCGATGTAAGATATGCTATACGATGTAAGGATGATTCACCTAGCAGCATTTAAAACGCTTAGGCGGGGGTTAAACGATCTAAATCGGAAAAAGAGAAAGCATTAGTCGATGCCCCGGTAGCTCAGTGGTAGAGCTTCTGTATATGGTGAGCGAGAGCGCCTAGCAACAAATAGCATGTGGTTCTAATCCTGCCCGGTGGCTAAACTTTTGCAAACTCTTTCTATGATGACCGTGCTTATATGTGTACATGCTCGCTTCCTCATGGCGACATACATAAAATATCGTTAATATAGTAAAGCGGTTGGTCCCGTTTTCAGTGCCCGTTGGAGTGCTGGTTTTATAAGTGTGATGTTGGGCCTTAAAATATTTTAATATCCCATAGGGTCACCTTCTTTGCATCTATTTTTGTAATAATCTCTAGATGCGACCTGCTGGTGCTCTTTAAGAGTTTAACAATCATTCAGTCATAATTACTATTACATTGACTGACTGATCAAAAAGCCATATACGAGTTTTTATGATTAAAATTATTTGTGTTTTACCTATTCAGAATTAAATATCTATAAACAAATTGGGTACACAATCCATACAAATTTATGATGTAAAAAAATTGCCCAATAATTATGATACTCTGACAAATAATTTTGTTGAAATTATACTTTAAAAATTCTATCAAAATGCCGTCAGTAAAAATTATAACTAAATTCCCTTCGCCATCAATTAAATAAAACTAAATATTCAGATTTAATTCTGATTTTTAAAAAATTTTACCCCTTGAACAAACATTTGATTAATCAACCCTAAAATATCCAAAACACAATTTTGTATCAGAATTCTGCTGTGTGTTTCCATTTCTTTTGGTGTTTTAAAAATAATTAAAATAATCAGAATAATGTTTAGAGGATAACCAAGTAATAAACAAACAAAATAATCAAATTTAAATAAATTATCAATTAAAACTGACATATTTTTATTTTTATTTTTAAAATTAGTATAGTAAAATAAAGTAAAATTAATATAAAATTTTTTATTAAAATATTTATAAATATTTACATTAATATATGTAACATGTATTTAAATACATTTCTTTGAAATTTTTTTATTTTAATTAAAATCGTGAGATATTCATCAACTGAGTTGGTTAACATAGAAACAGAGTTGCCAAGAGGGTGCGGCTAATTTTGAGAACATATCTTGTAAGCTTGAGAACGTTATGTTCAAATCTTACAAAGATTCACTAAGATTAAACGAGTTGATATTACGCAGGCGAAAATTTTGGAAATTTTAGTGGTTAAATTTAGTTTTTTAGCCGAAAAGGCTATTTTTAGTAAGTACTTACAAATAAGTACATTTTAATAAATAAGGAATAAAAATACTGATTTGTAAGTATTGTACTTCCAAAATACTGTACTTCCAATTTTTTTAACTTAGAAATTCTGGTTTTGTTGGTTTTTAATTCTGTGTAAAATACTTTACTTTTTCTTGGGAAAACTATTTCACCTTCATATTCTTTAATAGGTAATAAAAATATCTCAGATTAATTATTCACTCAGAATAATTAACTAGACAAACAAATAAACACAATTAAAATCTTTATCTCTAAATATCACACAAATATTTATAAAGAAATGAATGATCACAAAGAAACATTGAAAAAGTGAAATTTCAACCTATCTTTTATAGGCAAAAATTTCGATAATAAAAAGTACATTGTAAAAAATGTACAAAAATTGTCAAAAAAGGAAAGTGACTCACTGAGTCACCGCCAAAATGATAAATAAAATTCCTCAAAAAATATAAAATCTTTAAATCCTCAATTTCGTCAGCGACATTCTGGTTTTTTTTGAAATTCTGGTTTTTGGAAATTCTGATTTTTTAAAACAAAAACATGTTTATTGAGGGTGTATTTGTAAACGATTAAATACAGCTTCTCTGTATGGCTTATTAGTTAATATACAAACAATTGGGTTAAAAACGGGTGTAAAATGATAGAAAATTACCATAAATATATAAAAAATATTTTTATTTTCTTTTGTTGAATCATTTGTTTTATAAATGAAACTAAGGGACACAGCAAATAAAGTTAAAAATTGATTTATAGATGGAATAATTGCCTGAAATTTAAATTAAATTAATGCTATAATTAAACAATTCACCAAAATTATCAAAGTTATTGTCAATTGTTTAAGTAATCTCTTCATATTTTGATCAAATCCAGTATGTAAATTAACATAATAAACCATTTTAAATCCACAAATAAAAATTATAACAAATGGAAGTATTACAATGGGAGTTAAAATTAATGATGACAAATCCTTTCATTTAAAAATAATTACTTTGCCTCTAAAATTTTTTGCTTAAAAGGTAATTTGAGTCAATAATTTTCGGAAATCCTGACATTAACGGATTCCTGATCACCCAACCATAAAGATGACAAATCAAGATCCATCTCTAGTACCTTACACAGACCCGAGCTTTTCAATTTCAGAATAGTTCATACAATAAAAGACCAACTAATCGTAATATACCCAGAAAACATTTGGAATTATTTTCCATATTTAAAATAATTTATTTCATATTTAGATCCGATTTTCAAAGATTTTTTGTTCATAGACAGCTATATAAATAATTCTGATACCTCTGATTTCAAAATAACAAATGGCAATGTTTTGTTTGAATATTCTTCATCAAACTGTTTAATACCTCCACCAATATACTGCATAGCATAGAATATATTAAAGAGATTATAAAACAAACCAACAATTAAAACAATCGAAAACATGTACAAATAGCGTTTAAAATTTGGTTTCATGTTTCTATAAAATTTATGTTTATATGTTATCAATTAATTCCAATTTTTAAATTAATTCTGATTTGTTTTGTGCCCTGCGCTGCGTCTAGCTTCGTTGTTAAGTAAATTTAATATAGTAATGCGGTTGGTCCCGTTCCCTGTGCCACGTTGGAGTCCTGGTTTTATAAGTGTGGTATTGGTTTTATCGGCCTTAAAATATTGTAAGATTCCAGAGGGAGCATTTTTTGCAGCAATTTTTGTAATAATCTCTAGTTGGGATTTGCTGGTGGTCTTTATGACTGATCAAAAATTTAGGACTGATCTTTACGACTGATCAAAGAGCGATTTACGAGTTTTAAATATAATTATGATTAAAATTATTTGTGTTTTACCTATTTAGAATTAAATATCTATAAACAAATTGGGCACACAATCCATACAAATTTATAATAAAAAAGAATTGCCCAATAATTATAAAACTCTGATAAATAATTTTGTTGAAATTATTCTTCATATATTCAAAGAAAATGCCATTAGTAAAAATAAAGGCTGAATTTCCATTATCGTCAATTATGTAAAACTTAATGTTTAAATTTATGCTAGATTGGTGGCTTGTTTTAAAGGTATTACCTTTTGTGCGAACATTTGATTAATCAACATTAAAATATCCAAAACACAATTTTGTATCAGAATTCTGCCGTGTGTTTCCATTTCTTTTGGTGTTTTAAAAATAATTAAAATAATCAGAATAATGTTTAGAGGATAACCAAGTAATAAACTCCCCCAAAAATCAAATTTAAATATAATATCAAAATTGGACATTTTTAAAATAAAAACTAACAAAGTACTCTACTTTTTTATTAAAAATTATTTTAATAAAATTTTTTAAAAATATTTAATTAAAAGAAAATTTCGTCTAATTAATAGAAAAATTTTCACCTGCCATTTATTTAATGCCCTTTAGAAGACAAACAAAAAAAGTTATTAGAAGCAAATTGCTTAAAGTTTAACCGCCAACCTTTAAAAATACTTTAGAATTTTTAATTTACAAATAATATAATAAATAATATTTATTTTACTTTTTAATTTGCAGCTAAAAATTAAATTATTGAAAATCAGTGTTTCCAACGGAAACAAAATGTGAAAGAAAGAATTTAGAATGGAGACAGTATTTCCAACTTTCACAGTATTTTCAACTAAGGTTGGAAATACTGCGAAAGTCAACAAGTGATTAAGTGTAATATTAATTAAAGCATATTGGAAATACGTTTTCAACAAGGCCAAGGTTGAAGAAAACAATTTATTGTTGATTATCCATTAAAAAACTTTGAAAATTAAGTGGTTTTTTACTATATAATAAACTTAGATTTAAGAGAAAGGTACTTTCGCATTAACTCCCCACAAAGTCCGCAAATATTTTCTGCAAATTTACCTTCTCTTCTGTTGGGTATGTGCTTAGTATAAAAGGCTGAGGCTTTAGCCAGTGTTATGTATCGACTTGCGGTGTGTCCGATACTAACAGAAACAAGACTTGACTAACAACAAAGTTTATCACAAGCAACAATACAATAGAAATAGGCGAGACTGTGCGTTGGCTTTGACTAGACTATGGACTAACTGTAGACTGACTAACTAACTAACCACTAACTCCTAAAAGGCTTCGCCTTTTATACTAAGCCGCCACCCTAACACCTCCCTTCTTTAATTAAGTCGGGACTATGTTTCCGACTTTCCAACTAGACTTGGTGGACTTCAAAATACTACTAGCCAACACAATAAAAACATTGAAAATACATACAAAGGGCCAAAATACAATGTGAGCAACAAAAGGGGGATATACAATAATTACAAACAAAAATTTACAAAAACAATATTATCACAATTATTTACTTCCTATTTACATCCCCTCTATTTCCGATCATCTTCCGTCCCAGTGCTCGCGTGCATTGGCTCATCTTTTTGCTTCATGTTTTCTTCGCTCACAAGTTCGATGTCCACGTCCTGCAATTCGTCTTCTTTCTGGAGGATCCGGATGTTCTTCTTAAAGATCGCTGAAAGTTTCTCTTTGTCTTCTGCCTCCAGACTTTCAACCGAGCTCGACCTTTGATCCTCTTTTGATTGACTTTTCATTGTTGCATCATCGAACCACTTTTTCTTTCGAATAAACCACTCCTCACGGCTGACTATGCTACGCAATGATGGTACTTGGACTTTCCAAATTTGCCCGACTTTGTTCATCAATTTCCCTGCTAACCACATTGTTTTACCACTACGATTTGTGTTTTTGACTAAGACTTCCATTCCATTTTCGAATTTATTCGTTCTTCGTCAAGCTTTCTTCTTTTGACTATGGAATGGTTTCTTCGATTCTTGACTGTTGAATTCTTTATTTCGAATCGGAGTCTCTTGTATCTTGGACTTTGGGCTTCTCCAATCTTTCCACTTCGGGCTTCTGTTTTGACTTCCTCTTCCAAAATATTGCGACAAGACTGGCGATTTTGTGCCGAATTTGTTTATATTAATGTTGTTTATATTTCCCATAATGTTTATATTTCCTTCGACTATGTGAACTTCTTCCGACTTTTTCCCAAATAATTCAACTTTGACTTTGACCTTGCCTTCTATCTTGAAGTTCGATTTGCCTAACCCGACTCCAGAATAATTGACTTGACTAATCTCAGGTTTGCCCAAATCGTTCCAGGTTCCTTCGGTGATACAATTGATTTGTGCAGCCGAATCAACAATCATCTCAACATTTTTGTCATTCATCTTGACTGTCTGTGTGATCCATTTCTCCTTTAGCAGAATCTGCGTCGGATCGACTATATCGGCAATACACACATACGGACCTGAATTATTACTGTCAATTGACATATAATTTACTTCTGGGCGACTATTACGATTTAACCAACCTCTAGGGTATCTACAGAATCGGCTAATGTGTCCCCTCTTCCCACAATTATAGCACTCCTTCTGTCCATATTGTGGACGACTTGTCTGACTAAATTGTCGATCATTGACTTGACTATGTTGACGTTCTTCTCCTTGACTGAATTGATTCCTTTTGTCCTTTTCGTCTTTACTACTTTTCACATTTTGATTGACCTGAATAGTTTTACTAATATTATTCACCTCCACAGAATATTCAGGTTCAAATCTGACCTTTGACTGGTTATCCGCGAATACCTTTGCATCAGACTTATTTGCCAAATAGCTACGGACTTCCTCCATCAATGCCTTCAATGTGCATACTTCTGACTTTGAATATTTCTCTACGAATCTCAGACTGATTTGCCGGACATCTAACGCTTCCTCTGGAATGCCTGCAATGAATACAAGAATTTTACTTTCTTCGACTGTCAACGCCATTTCCGCCTTTTCACATTCTGCGTTTACTAGAGTTCCAAACTCAAGAATTTTTTCGATACAAGGGCATTTCATTTTAATGACTTCGAAACGTTTGACTAATTTGGAACGGTGATCACAGAATTCCTTTTTCAGCTCTCCGACTAATTCCCCAAAGTCCATCTCAACTAATTCTCTGGGCAATAACTTTTGTGCCATCTTCGAATACTCAACTTGTCCTAACTTATCTACTAACAACCGGACTTTGACTTTTTCTTCTAAGGACTTTGCGTCTACCTCGAAGTAAGACTTATTTTTGAGGTACCATGACTCAAACGTGACTCCCCTTTCAATGTCGGCTTGGAACTCTGTAATCAACATTTTCAACTTACAGTAGAGGTCTGTTGTTTGTTTCTCCTCCGACTCGGCCATTGACTTTCCTCCCATCAACTTCTCCAGAATTTGGCCGAACTGTTCCGACTGTGCTTTCTGCATTTGTTTTTGCATCTCATGGAATTTCTCAAGGATTTGCGGGTCCATCTGAATTGACTAATTATTTTACTAATGACTAACACAAACTAACTTGAATTGTTCGAATAGTTGCGACCGCGCCACTGTTATGTATCGACTTGCGGTGTGTCCGATACTAACAGAAACAAGACTTGACTAACAACAAAGTTTATCACAAGCAACAATACAATAGAAATAGGCGAGACTGTGCGTTGGCTTTGACTAGACTATGGACTAACTGTAGACTGACTAACTAACTAACCACTAACTCCTAAAAGGCTTCGCCTTTTATACTAAGCCGCCACCCTAACAGCCAGTCTGGGAGTTACCGAGTTATTGAGAGAGTAGTCTATAGTCAGTCGTTAGTCTATTCCGTTAGTCAGTCAGTCTTATTCTTAGTCCTTGCGCTCCAGCAAATAGTCTCGTTATTCTATTGTATTGTAACCTTGTAGATAAACATTGTTAGTTAGCTAGTCTTTCTGTTAGTATCTCGGACACACCGTAAGTCGAAACATAACATCTTCCTTCTTTTCTTTTTCTTTCTTTTCTCCCTTCAATTCTCATAAGGATTAAAAATGGTCAGGATTAATATTTTAAGGAAAATGCAATATTCTTCAATTTCAATATGCTTTATTCTTCATTATACTAAGAATCGATAGATACAATGGATGCATCATTTCCGCCAAACAGATTAGACATGGAGGATCTAATAATATTGTCATGCGTTTGTGGGAAGGTAAATGAGATCTATTAATCATTTTATTCTTTATTAAAGCACTTTTTATTTATTAAGAGCCTGTTGGGAATGATTATATGATTTGACGGAAGAATGCAATATGTCTAGGATATAAGCTTGAAAATGTTAATTTTTACATTTCTATTTTTTGTTGGTATTTATTTTTTGCTTTTAAGTCTCCATAATCGAAATATTTTTTCAGGTGCCAAATCGTGCTTCTGCAACAATTTCAATATTGAAAAGAATGATTGAATTACTTAGAGGTATTAACTGCAATGTTTTTACTCGGATTAGTCAGTACGATCTTCAGAAGTTTTATCTAATGTACAAAAAAGTTTTCAACACAATTTTTTAACAATTTTTAGATGATGTAAGGAAATTCTGAAATAATTAGCCTACTTCAAAATATGATTGTTTTGATGTGTGCGCTGAATCAAGATATATAATCGAGAGTGTGGATATTTAATCAAGGGTGGGGAATTATTCAAGAGTAGGGAATTAATAGAGTAAATAAGGTAGTTAATTTTTAAAGCCAATAACCACTCAATTATTTATTCAAGGTGTTACATAAGTTCTGTCGGTTTATCATTTTTCGAAAAATACTTTATGGATATGCATGTTCTATATACCATTCGAAAGCTTAATTCGTATCTCGTTTTTCTGAGATATAGACGGGTAAATAGTATATGGTCGGATATGCCATAAAATTTCTAGGAGAAATAATTTTATTAGCTTAATAATTA